TAAGTCACAAAATTATAATTCAAGTCAAGTCTCAAGTCTCCATTGTGGTTCCAATTTGATGTTATTATTTATCAAAAATGTAACGGCTTATATGTTTCTTTCTATTAGTAACTGATGTGGTTAAACAGGAATCATGTCTCATAGCTTCTTAGGCTTATACACATTTTCAAAGAACTTGCTCTTGCAAATGTCTTTGAAGCAATTCAATTTTTGTAAGAAATGAAGCACTTTTCTAATTTAGATTGTAAAACTAATACTTTCTCAAAAATAACATTTTGATGAAGAAATCCCTTCAGCAGGACAGGTAAACTTCACTTAGTGTGAACAGTTACAAACATAGACCAAAGAGGGTCCAAACTTGGCAACATCAACTATGTACACACACACACACACACACACACTACATGTGCGTGCGTGTGTGTGTGTGGCTGTAGTTTGTCCTACCCTGCTTTGGAATCTTCGAAATTTACTCACAATATCACACAATTTCTTCATGCTTTGTGTTTTAAAAATCATCAACATGCTATGCATCCTGTGATAAAAAGGATACGACCAAACAAGAATCATCAATGATATATTCTACCATTATTATGGGTTTTCATATCACCAAATAATTGTAATGCTGGAAACAACAGTTCATCTATACACTAGAAAATGTGAATGCAACTTACAGCAATACACAGCAACTGCAAAATGAGCAAATGGTAAATATTCTAACAGCTTCATGCTTTTATTTCCCATTAGACGATGACAGCTTGGATGGAAAAGCAGACTCTGCTATGTATTTTCTACCTGAAAGTAGCGGTATTGAAGAAAGTAAACTCTGTACGTAATTCATACGATTCTACGTGAGCACACATGTGCGTGTGCAGCTTTTTTATGCAGCCATATATGCTTAGTGTCTTCAAATTTAAGGTGTCTCTTCTCTCTCCTTATGTTCATTATTTTATATGAACAGGCAGTCATCCGGAGGAAGGCCAGGCGTTATTTGCATCTCCAAAGAAACTGTCATCATTTAAAGGTAACTTATGTGCAGATATTGTTAGTCCTGGGGTCTCCAACTCCAGTCCTGGGGAGCTACTGTCCAGTAGGTTTTCTATCCTACCTGGTTTCTGGTAAATACCAGGAACAGGTGTGGCTCATCAGAAGCCAGGTAGGATGGAAAACCTACTGGACAGTAGCTCCCCAGGACCGGAGTTAGAGACCCCTGTGTTAGGCTGAATTGTCACTCCGGTCTCTGAATGCATTCATTGGCTCATTTTGCTACAACAGTTACAGCCAAGCCAGCGTCACCATCCCCTGAGATCTAAAGAGCCACCCTGAAGCGTCGAAGCTTTAAGCAGAAACGAAGAATCTGGTCGCCTCCTCACTCCCGACGCCCCGTCGGCGGTCTGTTAGCTTAATGTCTAATATATCCCAGACCTTGACATGCGCCATCACATATTTTACTGTATATGGGGGTGGTCATAATGTTTTGGCTCATCAGTGTACATACAGTACAGTGCAAAAGTCTTAGGCAGTACAAGAAAATGATGTTTAAATTATCTTCATGTTGAAAATTAACAAATTAATGGAACGGCTGGGGCGCCCCTGAGGAGAGGTGTGGGAACTGAAGTGATCTGGCCATCCAACAAGATACCAGTGAATTTTTGGAGAACAGAAGAAATTCTTATTTGTTTTTACTGTTACTGCTATTTTGGATATTTTTAATGTTAAATTGTTTTGTTTTGCACAAATGCACATTTATTACCCAGATCCATAGCTTTAAACATTTCCTTTGACTGCCAAAGACTTTTGCACAGTACTATATATAAATAGTCTTTCACAGAATTGGTTGCGGGGCCCCCTACTGGCATGGAGGTCCTAAGTGACAGCTTATATCCTAGAACTACCTAGAAATGGCCCAAAGAATAAACTACTGCTTAATAGATAGAAATTTATATATTTTTGCTGAGACAAGAAGTTCAAATTGTTGCTTCTGATGACTTAACATATATGTATGTGTCATAATGTTCCTTTTATTATTCCAGTGTAGTATATTGAAATAAAATCATGTTATTGTTCAAAATAAAGCAGATAATCTTACATTAGCATGCTGTAGTGTCCGGGTCCCGGGACAGAGCCTCAGTTCTGTGTAAGCAGCACTTGTTGATTGTTTTGCTTGAGGGTCTTCATAGGGGGTAAAATGAGGCATGGAATGATTATTGACTGGGGGGGTGGGACCATGAACTGGGGGTTGGGATCCAGGGGGGCTGCGTCAGGGGGTGTTACCTGCACTTGACGGAGTTTTATAGGGGCCACATTGTGGGTTTGTATGAGGCTTGGTGGTTGTATTGTGCAATTGCCCAGCATGTGGGGCATACAGATGTCACAGTCGCCCAGTGTGGGACCCACTGGGTATCGCCACATGTATCCAGGCCTGGGGGGGTGCCACACCCTACTGACACGGGACCAGCAGTGTGTCCATACTGCCAACTCTGTCGTCCGTTTGATCTGATATTATAATTGTTGCGATACAGTCACATGACCTTTCACCACATGCAGATTCTTTTCATTTCCACCACTCTGTCTGGCTGCTTATTTTTTTGTGGAGTGAAATAAGGTGAGTAAAAACATTTAGAAGCTGTTTTAGGTCAAATTCAGGGAGCAGGAAGTGACTCACTGTCCCATCTACATA